ACTATGGGCTAACAATAATAATACAGAAATTCTAAATAAACATGGGTTATGTAAATAATAACAACAACTCAATAACAAGCAGAGGTGAATAATTCTTTCACATTTAGTAATTTTCAAGTCAATTCCTGTCATTAATAATCAAAACCTCACAAGCCATAAAATATATCAGGTATAATTAGGCTTCGAGTATTATTAAGCACGATTTATGCCGAGGTCGTACGATCCGATCCAAAATAATGTGTACACTTCCGAGGGACGTGCGACACGATCCATAGATGCATCTATTCTACTGCCGAGGCATTCGGCCCGCTCCACAAGAAATGAGGGTACTTTATAAGCATTTGACTTAAACGTTATTACAAGGCTAATATACAATGTAGTACAATTTCCATTAACGGTCATGTAATCCGCTCTAAATTTAAGCAAGTGAAATTCGGTCTCTTACAATTCCTTTATCAAGTTCCAATATGATTTAGTCAATTTAATTAACAAGTAGGGTACAAATATTACAAGTATTTCATGATTTGGGTCCTAAACTACCCGAACATAAGCATCATTAGTAGCTACGCACGGAGTCTCGTCACCTCGTGCGTACGTAGCCCCCACAATTAGAAGCAAATATAAATTTAAATCACCTATGGGGTAAATTCCCTCTTACAAGGTTAGGCAAGAGACTTACATCGTCTCAAAGCTCACTTCCCGGCCACAAATTCACTCTAAAGACCCCATTTGGTGCCGAACAATCCACAACTAGCCAAATGTTCATAAAATAATCGATATATGCTCTAGAGTTAATAACTCAACTATTAGAGTAATTACCTAACCCAAATTGGAAGATTCCTAAAATTTACCCCCTGGTCCCACGTGCCTAGATTCCAAAAATTTTCGAAGATAAATGTTACCCATAACCCCACGAACTCAAATGTATAATTTTCACCCTATTCCATAATCATTTTCATGGTTAAATCCTATTTTTATCAAAACCTAGGTTTTTCATCTAAACCCATAATTTCCACAATTTTTATATGTTAAAATCTACCCATAATCTATGTATTAAACTCATATTGGGTAGGAATTACTTACCTTCAAAAGCTAGGTTGAAATCCTCCTCTTTAAAGCTCCAAAATCGCCAAGAGTGTAATAAATGAACTCAAAATAGCCTAAGTCCTGATTTAAAACAAAACACTGCCCAGTTGCCCGTTCTTCGCGAACGCGAAAAGGGCCTCGCATTCGCGAAGGCAAACGGCCCAGGCCTAGAAAACATGGCTATCTCGAATGCGACCAGGGCCTCACGAACGCGGATGTTTACCTGCCCTGCCCTGCCTTACGCGAACGCGAGGGCACCTTCGCAAACGCGAAGAACAACGGTGCTAGCCCCACCCAGCTCGCCTTACCCTTCGCGAATGCGGACCCATCACGCGAACACGAAGCACAAAAATTCCCCCTGCCCAATTCCTTCATCGCGAACGCGAGGGTCCTTCCTCGTTCGCGAAGAAGGAAACCAGAACTGGAAATCTAGTTTTTCCAACTTAGCTCCGGGTGGTCCGAAATATACCCGAGCCCCTCGGGACCCCGTTCAAATGCACCAAAAAGTCCATAAACATAATACAAACCTGATCGAACTCTCGAAACGCGTAAAATATCAACGAAACTAAGAATCAGACCCCAAAACTAGGTTGAATCAAATTATGAACTTCAAGTTTCCAATTCACTCCAAACGTGCCAAATCATACTTAAACTACTTGGAATGACACCAAATTTTGCGTGCAAGTCTTAAATAACCATTCGGAACTATTCACAGGCTCCGAATCCCTAACAGACCTACATAACATCAAAAACTACTTCAAACCAAATTTAAAGAACTTTAAAACCTTCATGTGCCAACTTTCAATATTGTGAGAAAGCACGGGAGAAAATATATTGTTGATTAATTGACAATGCTACAATGAGCACTATATATACACACATAACATATCCTACTCCTAATACATATTGGATTAGGGTTATTTACTCCTATTTACACTACTATTCTAACACTCCCCCTCAAGCTGGTGCATATAAATCATATGTACCGAGATTGTTACATATGTAGTTAATACGAGGACCAGTGAGGGACTTGGTGAAAATATCTGCAAGCTGATCATTTGACTTCACAAACTTTGTAGCAATATCTCCCAAGAGTATCTTTTCTCTAACAAAGTGACAGTCAATCTCAATGTGTTTAGTTCTCTCATGGAACACTGGATTTGACGCAACATGAAGAGCAGCTTGATTATCACACACAAGTCTCATCTGACTAATCTCACCAAATTTCAACTCCTTGAGCAACTGTTTGATCCAAATTAGCTCACATGTCGCCATAGCCATCGCTCGATATTCTGCTTCTGCACTAGACCGAGCAACCACATTCTGTTTCTTGCTCTTCCAGGACACCAAATTTCCTCCTACTAAGACACAATATCCAGACGTAGAATGTCTATCAGAAGGTGATCCTGCCCAATCAGCATCTGAGTATCCAACGATCTGCTCATGGCCGCGATCCTTAAACAATAAACCTTTGCCTGGAGCTGATTTTATATACGAAGAATGTGAACAACTGCATCCCAATGACTATCACACGGAGAATCCATAAACTGACTCACAACACTCACAGAAAAGGAAATGTCAGGTCTTGTCACTGTAAGGTAATTTAATTTACCAACCAACCGTCTATATCTTGCAGGATCGCTAAGAGGCTCCCCCTGTCCTGCCAGAAGTTTAGAATTCGGATCCATCGGAGTGTCAACAGGTCTACAACCTGTCATTCTTGTCTCCTCAAGAATATCTAAGGCATACTTTCGTTGCGAGATCACAATACCTGAGCTAGACTGAGCGATCTCAATACCCAAAAAATACTTTAGTTTGCCCAGATCCTTAGTCTGAAAATGTTGAAAGAGATGTTGCTTCAATTTAGTAATACCATCCTGGTCATTGCCGGTAATAACAATGTCGTCAACATAGACCACCAGATAAATACAGAGACTCGAAGCAGAATGCCGATAGAATACAGAATGATAAGCTTCACTCCGAGTCATGCCAAATTCCTGGATAACTGTGCTGAACTTACCAAACCAGGCTCGAGGAGACTGCTTTAGACCATAAAGTGACCGGCGCAAGCGACATACAAGGCCACGAGACTCCCCCTGAGCAACAAACCCGGGTGGTTGCTCCATATAAACGTCATCCTCAAGGTCACCTTGTAAAAAAACATTCTTAATATCCAGCTGATAGAGGGGCCAATGACGAACAGCAGCCATGGATAGAAAAAGGCGGACCGGTGCTATCTTAGCCACGGGAGAGAAGGTATCACTATAATTGAGCCCAAATATCTGAGTATATCCCTTGGCAACAAGACGAGTCTTAAGACGATCAACCTTACCATTCGGACCAACCTTGACTGCATACACCCAACGACAACCAACAGTAGATTTTCCTGAAGGAAGAGGGACGAGCTCCCAAGTACCACTCGTATGTAAAGCAGACATCTCGTCAATCATGGCCTGTCGCCATCCTGGATGAGACAATGCTTCACCTATAGACTTAGGGATGGAAACAGAGGACAAAGAAGATAGAAAAACATAATAGGGTGATGACAAACGATGATAACTCAAACCGACATAATGGGGATTAGGATTAAGGGTGGTCCGTATACCTTTCCGAAGTGCAATCGGTGTACTAGAAGAGACAAGTCCGCAGTAGGAGCAGGGTCAGGTGCAGGACGTGAATCAGCTGGGCCTGATGCTGGGTGCGGACGACGATGATATGTCAAAAGTGGTGTTCCTGTGACAGGGAGTCTTGGAGGAGCCACACTAGACTCCTCAACGGTTGGAATGGGTAAGACTTCTGTAGCGAAAGGTGAAGGAGGAGCTATAGTAGACTCGGGTAAGACTTCTGTGGCAGAAGGTGAAGGAGGAGCTATAGTAGACTCCTTAAAGGTCGGTATAGGTAAGATCTCAGATATATCAAGGTGGTCAGAATGGTCAGAAGAGGTAAAGAAAGGTTTAGACTCAAAAAATGTGACGTCAGAGGACATAAAGTACCTATGAAGATCAGGTGAGTAACAACGATATCCCTTCTGAACACGAGAATAACCAAGGAAGACACACTTGAGAGCACGAGGAGCTAACTTATCTTTCCCAGGGGCTAAGTTATGAACGAAACAAGTGCTCCTAAAAATACGAGGGGGAACAGAGTATAAGGGTGATTGGGGAAACAATACTGCATACGGTATTTGATTCTGGATGGGAGAGGAAGGCATCCGATTAACTAAATAACAAGCCGTGAGAACTGCATCGCCCCAAAAACGCAGCGGACCATGAGATTCGATGAGAAGTGTGCGAGCAGTCTAATGATGTGCCTATTCTTTCTCTCTACAACCCCATTTTGCTGAGGGGTATAAGGACAAGAGGTCTGATGAATAATTCTTTGAGAAGTCATAAACTACTAAAATTGAGAGGATAAATATTCTAAGGCATTATCACTGCGAAAAGTGCGAATAGAAACACCAAATTGATTTTTAATTTCAGCACAAAAATTCTGGAATATAGAAAACAACTCAGAACGATCTTTCATTAAGAAAATCCAAGTACATCTTGAATGATCATCAATGAAACTAACAAAATAACGAAACCCCAAGGTTGAACTGACTCTACTAGGACCCCATATATCAGAATGAACTAAAGAAAAAACAGACTCTGCATGACTCTCAATATTACGAGGAAAGGAGGCTCGGGTATGTTTCCCGAGCTGACATGACTCACACTCTAATGTGGATAAACTAGACAAACTAGGCACCATCTTCTGAAGCTTGGATAAGCTTGGATGTCCTAAACGTCTGTGAATTAGATCCGGAGGATCTGTAACTAGACATGCCTTGGAGGATTTTAGTGAGTTAAGGTAGTAAAGGCCTTCTGATTCAAGTCCTGTTCCAATCGTCTGCCCCGTACTGCGGTCCTGCATAATAAAGGAATCATCAATAAAATATATACCACAATGGAGGGCACGAGTCAAACGACTAACAGATGCAAGATTAAAAGGACAGCCAGGGACATAGAGAACGGAATCTAGAGTGACAGAGGGTAAGGGATTTGCTTGTCCAACTCCTTTTGCTTTGGTTTGAGACCCATTGGCTAAAGTAACAGTGGGAAGAGACTGTGAATACGCAATATTTGACAAAAGTGATTTATTACCAGAGATATGATCAGAAGCGGCTGAGTCCACAACCCATTGTCCAAGAGTACTAGACTGGGAAACACAAGCAAAAGAATTACCAGCAACCGAAGTATCAGTCTGAGCAACAGAAGCTACTTGTGGAGATGTCTGCTTACTTGCTCAATACTGAAGGAACTCATTATACTCCCCTTCAGATAATGAAAATCCCTGGTTACCTATAGTCTCAATCTGAGCAATATAAGTATTTTTGGGTGGGCGGCCATGTAAAGAATAACACACGTCACGAGTGTGTCCAAGTTTATGACAATAAGAGCACTTGGGTCTAGATCTTCCAAAACGACCTCCTCCTCGTATATTATCCATAGTATGAGATGCCCGATTGTCCACTGACTGGGATACGAGGACAGATGAGTCAAGTGTCTGTGATGAGCTCACTAGGTGACTTGGTGCTGCAGCAACGCAAAGTAATCGAGAGAATAATTCATCAACTGTGGGGACAGTCGGACTAGCCAAAATCTGGTCACGTACTGAATCAAGGTCATTAGGGAGTCCAGCTAGTGTAAGAACTAGAAACATCTTCTGTCGTTGCTCTTGTTGCTTTTCAATACTAGCAGAAACTGGCATCAACGTCTCAAATTCTTCCATGACTGCCTGTACTTGTCCCAAGTAAGTAGACATATCCAATTCCTGTTTCTTCAAGCTTGTCATTCGCGATATTACATCATAGAAACGAGATATGTCATTAGTGTATAAATTACGAGCCTTTTCCCAAACTAAATAACATGTCTGGAATGGACGGAACAAGGGCATCAACTTGGAATCAATAGAGCACCACAGGATACTACATAACTGAGCATCGACCTTCTCCCACAGTGTTTTGGCCTTTTCATCACCTTCGCTAGCCTTTTTTGTTAAATGATCTTGAACTCCTTGACCTTTACACCACAACTCGACAGACGAAGCCCAAGCTAAGTAGTTTAAACCTCCCATTAAAGGTTCTGAGGTAATCATAACACCGGAATTGCCAGAACCCGGATTTCTAGACCCGAAAGCATCGACTCCCAAAGACATGATTGGATTATCACCAAATAACAAAAAAAAAATCAACTGACAATTCGCTGAAACAGATGAAGGAAATACTGTGTTTGCCGGAAAAGTACTGTAGCTGCCAGAAAAAACTCAAAGTGGTCGGAATCAAACGAAAACAGGATGGTTAGGGTCGGAATTGCTGTGCGACCAGGCTGTCCTGAAGAAGCTCGGCCAAAAAATGGCCGGAAGAGGCCTCACGCGCCGGCGCGTGATGACGGAGACTCGCCGAAAAATATTTTTCAGCGGCGCGTGAGGGCGCGTGGGAGAGGTTCTGCCGGAGAAAGTTTTGTGGTTTGGTCGCCGGAAGCTGATCTATCTCGTGGTGGTGTTGGTTTTTGCACAACACCGACGGATATTGATGTTTTCTTGCGGACAGTGCTGTTTTGCCGAAAAAAAGGGTTTTTTTTCCTTCCCGGAGTCGCTGGAATTTACGCACAGCGATAAATATCTCACGATAGCTCTGATACCATGTGAGAAAGCACGGGAGAAAATATATTATTGATTAATTGACAATGCTACAATGAGCCCTATATATACACACATAACATATCCTACTCCTAATACATATTGGATTAGGGTTATTTACTCCTATTTACACTACTATTCTAACAAATATTAAGCGCCGAAATGCTCCCGGGTCATCCAAAACCCGATCCGAACATACGCCCAAGTCTAAAATCATCATATGAACCTATTGGAACCGTTAAATCCCGATTCTGAGGTCGTTTACTCAAAACGTTGACTCAAGTAAAACTTTGCCCTATTTAGCCAACATTAAGGAACCAAGTGTTCCGATTTCAACCTGAACCCTTCCAAATCCCAAACTAACCATCCCCGAAAGTCATAAAATAGTTAAAGAACATACGGGGAGTCTTATTTAGGGGAACGGGGATCTAAAAAGCAAAATGACCGGTCGGGTCGTCATATTCTCCACCTTTTAAACAAACGTTCGTCTTCGAACGAGTCAGAATCATACCTGGAGTGCCGAATAATTGTGGATATATGCTCCGTATGTCCTCCTTGGTCTCCCAAGTTGCCTCCTCCATTGAACCTTTATGGCAAAAATCTTCTTGGACCTCAACTGGCAAACCTGCCTATCAATAATGGAAACTGGCTCCTCCTCATAACCTAGGCTCTTATCTAACTGAATCATGCTGAAGTCTAACACATGCAACCTATCGGCATGATACCTACGGAGCATAGACACATGGAAAACCGGATGAACTCCCGATAGACCGGGAGGCAAAGCAAGATCATAAGCAATCTCCCAAACTCGCCTCAACACCTCAAATGGACCTATAAACCTTGGGCTCAATTTGCCCTTCTTCCCGAACCTCATGATTCCCTTTATCGCCGAGACCTTCAAGAGAACTTTCTCGCCTACCATAAATGATAAATCACACGCCTTCTGATCCGCGTAACACTTCTGTCTGGATTGTGCTGTGCGAAGTCTCTCTTGAATAAACTTTACTTTTTCCAAGGCATCCTTCACCAAATCAGTACCATATAACTTAGCCTCGTCGGGCCCAAACCATCCGATGGGCGACTGGCATCGCCGACCATATAAAGCTTCAAATGGAGCCATCTCAATGCTGGACTAATAATTTTTGTTGTATGCAAACTCAGCCAAAGGAAAGAATCGATCCCACTGCCCTGCGAAGTCAATCACACATGCTCTGAGCATATCCTCCAAGATTTGAACTATCCGCTCCGACTGCCCGTCGGTCTGCTGGTGAAAGGCTGTGCTTAGCTCTACCTGGGTCCCCAACTCACTCTGTACTACTCTCTAGAAATATGAAGTAAACTGAGGGCCTCTATCTGATATGATGGAAGCAGGCACACCATGCAACCGAACAATCTCCTGAATGTAAATCTGGGCCAACCTCTCTGAAGAATACATAGTCACAACTGAAATGAAGTGTGCCGACTTGGTCAACCTGTCAATAATGACCTAAACAACATCAAACTTCTGCAAGGTACGCAACAACCCAACTACAAAATCCATTTTAATACGCTCCCATTTCTACTCAGGTATAGCCATCTATTGGAGTTGGCCACTGATAAGTAGGAATGTTGACCGCTTATTTGCTCTCTTTTACTTGCGTTTTAGCTCAGTAATGCTTAAAGGTATTCCCAAGAACTCATGAAATGTGCTTTTGTACAGGAATATTGGGAAAGAAGCTGAAGAAGTCAAAATCAACTCATAAAGGAGTCAAAAGTGAACAAGAACAAAAACAGGGCAAAAAGGCCTACAGTGCGGACCGCACAATTATAGTGCGGCCGTAGAAGAGGAGATTCAGAGAAGTAGATTTGGGCCAACTGAAGATGTGCGGACCGCACCATAATTGTGCGGCTGCACTCACAAGTGTGTGGTCCGCAGAAGACAAAGATCAGAGAGATGAAACTTTAAGTTTAAAGAAGAAATGCGGTCTGCACCATTTTTGTGCGGCTGCAAAATCAAGAGTGCAACCGCACTTATTTTTGTGCGGTCCGCAGAAGCCCTACAAAAGCAAGAGCTCTAGTTTATTGAGTGCGTACCGCATTATAATTGTGCGGCCACAGAAGCAAGAGTGCGGCCGCACTCAGAAATATGCAGTTTGCACAACCTCCGCAAGGGCATTTTTGTTAGATATTTTCAGCTTAGTATAAATAAAACTTTTTGTCATTTTTAGGTTAAGTTTAGTTTAGGGAAGAGCACCTGAGCCATTTTCTTTGCTGTTTTGAGTAATTTTGTACTAGATTAATTTCTAAACATTAGATTTTCTTTCCCTAATCAATTATTATGCATTCTATCTTAATTTCTTCTTTAGTTTCTTCAATTTTCATGAGTAGCTAAATTTCTAGCTAGGGTTGTGGTCCAACCCTAGTGTGGGTACTTAATAGGTATTTGATTTAAGGCTTGTTTGTGATTGGGTTAGTGATATTTAGCCTTGTTCATGCTTGAATTCAAGAATTAATGGTTGCAAAAATTGATTCATGCCTATTTGACTTAGTCCTACTTGAGAAAGAGAGACTAAGTCTAGGAAAACTTGGCTAACAAGAAATTGGGGTGAACTCAAGAAATTGATAGCCCCAACTAAAGGGTCAAATCTAGAGATAGTAAGACCTGACTTGAGCATATATCACTTGTTTTATGCAATACCCATTTGACTTGAGAAAGCTAAATTGGGCAAAATCACTCAAACTACCGAGAGGTATAGAGTGGGTAATTTCATGTGATTGCAATATTACGACCCCGACTAATCAAACTTGCCCTTGAGTTTACGACCCGTTAGGTAACCACCTAGGTGGAAGTTACGACCCTAGATTCTTTATCATTTGAAAAACAACCAAAACCAAAAATATTGTCTCCTAGTTTTATAGTTGCAATCAATAGCTTAAAGTAGAAATAGAAACAACCAACAAGAATGTGGAAGTGCAATTTGAGGCACATTATATAATTACACTAGGTGTATACCTAATCCCAATTCTAACTCCCTGAGGATTCGACACCGACTTGCATTGGGTTTTTATTATTGCGTCAACCGCCTCACTACCTATAATAGTGGTATGAGTTTGGGCGAGATCAATTTTTGGTGCTGTTGCCGGGGAACTTCATGAACACGCCTTATGCAGAAGCTTCTGAAATTCTTGATGAGATGGCGAATACCTCATCGGCATCAAAAAGTCGAGCCAATGTTCCTCAAGGTGACTCAAATGTCATTCACCTACACAAGGAGCTACATGATCATGGGCAAGCTATTGCCGAGTTGAAAACTACAATGAATCAATTAGCCAAAGCTCAGCTTCAACAAGTTCAAGGGCCGAAACAAGTGAATGTAATGGAAGGTGTGAATATGATGGTAAACAATAGACGACAACAAGGTCGAAAAATGCAAAACCGCCCGGAACAATTCATGCAAGATGATAGTGATCATGATCAAGGTGATTCGTTCAATGAGCAAGAAGAAGAAGTTCAATATGTCAACAATTATCAAGGTCAAAGAAACAATGCTCAAAGACAAAACCAACAACAATGGAGGTCACAAGGAAACCAAGGAAATTGGAACAATCAAAACCACCAAGGCAATTGGAGTGGTGGTAACAATAGTCAAAGCAATCGGAATAATCAAGGTAACCAAGGCAATTCGGGAGGTAATCATCAAAGCAATTGGGGTGGCAACAATCAAAGCAATTGGGGAGGTAATAACCAAGGAGGGTGGAACAACAACAACAACCGGGGGTCGGGTTTCCAAAGGCCCCCGATGTTCCAACAACCGAGCAATCCACCTCCCTATCCTTCTCAAGGTCTGAGCTCTTCTATCAATGAGATGGGTAGAGTTGAGAATATGTTTAAACAGATGATGGAGAAGAATACCGACTCCGATGCTCAAATAGCCTCTCAGAATACTTCTATTCAAAATATGGAGGTTCAATTTGGCCAAATATCGCAAGCTTTGAACACTCATCCTAAGGGGGCACTACCTAGTGATACGGTGGTAAACCACAAGGGTGGGAATAATACGGGACATGCTATGGCCGTGACTACTAGAAGTGGAAAAGGTGGGGATGCAACCACCTCAAATCAAAGAAGAATTGTGGATGAAGATGTTGTGGGTCAAGAAGATGATATCCCAAGCAATGTGGTTCAAGCTAATGAAGAAGTGAGAACTGATATTGATGAAAGTGTGGAGGAGACGCAAGAAGAACTGAACCCATCTAGGGAACACGTGATTGACATGCCGGAACCGGTAGTGCCAAAGGCTAAGGCACCAATGCCAAGGCCTCCTCCATACCCTCAAAGGCTTGCAAAGCGAAATAGTGAAAACCAATTCAAAAAGTTTATTGATATGATGAAGATTTTGTCCATAAATGTGCCGTTGGTTGAAGCCTTGGAGCAAATGACGGGATATCCAAAATTCATGAAGGACTTGGTAACCAAGAAGAGATCGATGAGTTGT